CGAGGCAGATCAGTCGCCGGCTTCTGGACGGCCGCTCACTGCGGCTGCTGGCCGCTCACGCTGGCTGCTGGCCGCTCACGCTGGCTGCTGGCCACACACGGTAGCCCATGGCAACCCACTGCCACAGGGACTGCAGCCCACGCCGTCGCCGGCGACTCACGGCAGCCCAGCTCCAGGTTGAGCTGTTGTTCAGCATCTTAGCTGTGGAGGGCAGTGTCACTGGCCCTCATATGTGGGATCCGAACCGGGGCCCTCTGGCATCCCAAGCGAGTTCTTAACCATCGCGCCACTCGGCCGGCCCCACCTTTCATTTTTTTAATTCAGAAGCTTTACACTTTTATGAACTAAAATATTTTCCTTTGTGACCTTAATTTTTTTGTTGAGATATAATTGACCTCTACCTTCATGATCTTTAATACTAATTGGATCTCCTCTCAGAGTTGAGGTTCAATTGTGTTTTCTTCGAGTTTTTCGAGAGTTAAGTTGTGATATTTAATTTACCTAGACTTTATTTAGGTGTACTGTTTGAGGTTAGAGGTTTTTCGGGTTTTGTCCCAAAATTTCTAACCGACTGTACAAATGTGCTTTTCCTCATTACGTTGTAATGTTTCTTTTGTCCTTTTGCTTACATAAAATTGCATCTATTTCTGCCTAGTCTTAAATCGATTTATAAGCTACACAATGCTTTACTATCTACCAAGGTTACTACTCCTCCCACTTAAGCTGTCTTCGAAATTTTCTTGGCCATCTCCCCTGTTTATTCTTCCAGATGAATTTAAAAATAATTATATCCAATTCTAAAAGGACTCTATTGGGATTTTCACTGTAATTATACGAAGCCTAAAAAAATTTTTTTTGACATCTTTACAATTTTAACTTTGCCATCCAGGGAAGTTTTTCTTCATTGAGGTTTCCCATATTTCTCAACAAAATCTGGTCATTTTCTTCACATAGATCACTGGCATTTCAAAGAAAGGTTATTTCTAGGTAGTTTATATTTAGGTTGTTTTCTAGTTGGGCTATTACTGGTGCATGTAGGGAAGCTTTTTAATTTGATGGACCTTCCAGTTGACATTCTAATTGTCAAGGCATTCTTTTGTTTCCTCCTGCAAGTACCACTCCCAGGTCTGCCCTCTGGAGCTAGACAGAGTATTATAAAACCACTTCTCCTTCTACAGGAGAAATTGTGATCTCTTTGGAGACTGCTATCACGTTTCCCATGAGCCTTCTTTTGTCCTGGCTGAATAACCCCACCTGATAGGAAGAAAATAGGATTTGAGAACGTCTCAAGTGACGGGTGGACAGGGGGAAGGTTAGCCTAGAAGGTGGGGGGCCAGTGGAAATCCGAGCTTACAGGCTGTGAAGATGGAAAGGGCCAAGTCTGAGAGAGATTTCAAAAGAGGAAACATTAGGACACGTTGACAAACCGGATGTAAGGAGTAAAGGAACGGGAAGAAGAGTCAAAGATGACTTTGAAACTCCTAGCCTGAATCGTTGAAGAGTGATTCTCTCTACTAAGAGAAAGTGTGAGAGATTGAATGGGGGAGATAGTTTGGAAGGAAGTCAGTTTTGGGCCTTCTGACCCCGAGAGGACAATATAGCCAAGGAGAGAGGCCTGTCCTATAGACCAGTTGTGAGATAACAGAAAATGTATATATGGTCTCTGTCCCTGGTTCTTGGCACAGAGTTTCTAAATCCCTTGTCATTTCCTTTCCTAAGTGATAAGAACACTAGGAGTATCTTTTGTTCTAATGTTTGGTCTTTGACCCTACTTCCTGACAAAGCTCCTAAATTCCTGGGGGTTGGGTGATAGGAACATCTTTTGTTCTACTGAAGAGCCTGGGTGGCTCCTGGAAGGGAGCTGGTCACCAGAAAGACCAAGCCATGATTAGAAGCTTGGGACTTTTAGCCTCACCCCCACACACACACACCCCGCCCCCCCTGCCCCCCCCCATCCTCCAGAGAGTAGGGAGGGGCTGAACATGGAGTTGATAATGGATTATGCCTACGTGAGGAACCTCCATAAAATCCCAATGGTTGAGGTTTGGAGAGCTTCAGGTTTGGCAAACACATCCACGTCAGAAAGGTGACACACCCCAACTCCACGAGGACAGAAGCTCCTGCACTCAGGACCCTCCCAAGCCCCATCCGATTTATCTCCGCATCTGGATGTTCACCTGTATCCTGTATCACATCCTTTAACAAGCCGGTGAACCTGTATTTCCCTGAGTTCTGTGAGCCTCTCTAGCAAATTAACCAAAGCCAAGGTTGGGCGTGGGGGTGTCACGGAACCTCCAATTTGTAGCCTAGTCGGACAGAAGTCGTAGGCAACCTGGGGACCTACTACTTGCGGTTGGCATCTGAAGTGGGGGGCAGTCTTGTGGGACTGAGCCCGTAACCTGGGAGATCTGACACTATCTCCAGGTGGTGTCAGAATTGAGTTAAATTGTAGGGCACCCAGCTGGTGTCACAGAATTGCTCATTGGCGTGGGGAGAAGCCCCCACACATTTAGTGACCAGAAGTGTCAGAAGTGAAGTGTTCTGTGTAAGTGGTACAGGAGACGCACAGACGGAAAGCTGAGTTTTTCCTAAACACCAGTGTTTTTCACATTTTTTCCCCCACAATAATATAGTTTACACAGCCAGCCAGTTCACACACAAACACACATAGATATAAAAGATATCAGGGTCTCTGAACTCCTACAGACACCTGCAAGTTTGGGCCTAGAATACTGGCAAGAGGGGCAAGGCCTAGGTGTGTGACCAGCACTGAATTGATGGGTTAAGTCTCAAGGACGCATGCCTTCCTTCCCCGCAGCTGTCTGGGATCCTGTGGTCTAAGACTTGATAACCAACAGTCTGTCAGGAATTAATGACCCTGCCACCATCTACCCTCAACCCCATGTTCCAGAAGGCCCCAGAAGATTCCAGCAGGAAGGCCACACACATTTTAGAGTTCAAAGTCGGTCTCTCTGCTAACGCACAGAGCACAGGGAGCTAGAAATTGCTCACCTTAAAAAAAAAAACATCTCCTTTATCCTCAGCCTGGATACAGGTTTTCCTTGAAAAAGGAGCTAGAGCATATTTAGGTCTCCAACTTTGAGTTTCAAGGCCACAGTGAGTAGAATCGGGACAGGGAAGACAGGAAACCATTTCTCCTTGCAAAGCTGGAGTCCTAAATTGAAGTGTAGAAAAGAGGCCAACAGCTCTAGGCTAACATCAGTTGGGTCGGAGCCCAAACAAACTCAGGCCCAAACTCCCAACACTTGGCTCTGAGGCATGAGGGAGCCCAGGGGATTGTCAGAGGCCCCACAGAAACCAGCAAAACAATTTGAAGAAGAGCCAGTTAAAGAGAGGTGTCTGCCCCCGGGGACATTAGCCTCCTCGGTCTAATTACTATGTCAGAGCATCTTTCCAGAGCAAATCTTGGAACATTTCATAGGGAGACGTTTTTTAAAGAGATGAAAACGAGCAAATCCACTTTTGGCTTTAGAAACTTAGTTTTAACGAAGTCCCAATGCACCGTATGGTCGAACTGCCACGTCCCTATCAGGCTTTTTTTCTGTTCAGGGAAGGGGACCGACAAAGAGGTGGGAGGCCAGGGCAGGTCAGTTGTTCAGGAGGGAAGGAGCCTCGGGCAAACTGCTTTTCCCACGTTGGACAGATGCTCCGGGTTTACAGGAGGCAGCTGCTGAGGACGGCGTGTCTGGGCAGCTCCCAACACTCAGCTCAGAGAAACTGGGCTTCATGGCAAAGGTCCCAGGGAGCCAGACCCAATTCCCCTCCATGGAGGAGTTGGCTTTCAAATGACATAACCCAGGCAATAAAAGAGGCCACTGAAGGCAGCTTCCCACACCCTTTCTCAGGCCCTGTGCCGTATCTCGTTCTCCTCAGGTACCCGTCCTCCCTAACCGAAAAGGTTGCCAAGATAAAAACTACCTTCCTCTCCATTGCTTTCTCCTCCCAGAACCCCTGCTCCTTTCGGTGGCCATACTCCTAAGCTCTGGGAAGACTGCACCAGAGGCACTTTTTTGTCCCAGGAACCTCTCAGTGACCTGGTGCTGGTGTCCAGAGCGTCTCCAGAAAACCTGATTATCTCCAACCCGGATCTCTGCTCATCCCACGAGCCCTAGAGGCCCAGGCTGAGAGCCTCTCTTTCCTGTGTGGCAGCACACTCCCTCCTGTCTTTCTTCAGCCTGGCAAGCCTTCTTGGCACCGTCGGCAACCCCACCCTGCTTCCACCTTCTTAACATTCTGAGAACAAGCACAGTCTAGATAGACCCACGCCAAGCACGAGTGCAAGAGAGAGAGAGACCCCGGGACCTACAGGAGACACGCCCAGCTCTGGAGCAGGCTTCCAGTGCATTCTGAAACACAGAAAAGAGGGCGACGGGCTAGCAAGAAACTGGCCAGGGATGAAGGAGGTTGTAGGTCTAGTTTCTTTGGTCCAGGGAAGATTCGTGTCAATTCGGCTATGTCCCCATGGGGCCCTGCAGTCAGCTGCATTCTTGGCAGAAAGAAAAAAATCATTGGACGAGGTGAATGATGCCCAGAGATAGCCCAACACGAAACGCTTAAAGAGCTGCAGTCGGCATTCCGAGAGCGCTTTTCGTTTCTGCACAGGACATGGCGTTACTACTCATCTACCTCTGGTGCTCATCGGTAAATCTCTAATTGCAGAATCTGTGCTTCTGACCAGTTCTTTTCCGACTGAGGACACACAAGGCAGGGTCAGGGATCCCACAAGGCCCCACCCCAGACAAGGTCAAAGCCAAAGTCAGGGGCCACCTCCTCCCACAAGGACTCGGGCCACGGAGCTGAGCTGCTTAACGGGGATATCCTAAGTCCTCTGAAGGTCACCAAGTCCTCACGTCACAATGTCTGCGACGTCCGGACCCCACCTCCCAGATGTGGACAACATGCCCATCTTCCAGAGGCACTAAAAGTATGTTCTTTCATCCTCCCTGAGAAGTGAAAAGAAAGCAGGCCAGGAGCTCAAATAGACACATTAACATAATTTATTGAATTCACCATACAAAGAATAGGCCACAGGACAAATATCAGAACTGGAAAGGCCCATGATGACCATCCGGTCTGAACCCCTTGTTTTATAAATGAAAGAACAGCACAAAGAAACCTGAAAGCCATTATGGACAGGCCAGCAAATAATGCAGACACACGGACTTAAGGCTTCCCGGTTTGAGCCAAATAGAACCTAAAGACTTAATCTATGTTGATTTTTAATTTCTCTGCATCCTACGGTACCATATTCTGATGCTTAGCTCCTTCTTGAGGCTGCAGGAAGGACCCTAAAGAAAACACCGTGCGTGGCAGGGTGATTCAAAGCCAGGAAAATAGACCGACTACGAAGCAGAGGATCAGAGGGGGTCAGGGGAAGAATTCAATTCCTCCCCAAGAGTCCTGACCACCCTCTTTCCCCAAACAACATGCATGCAGACCGGCTGCCACAGGGGACATGTACGTGCCTTCTGGAGGTACAGTCAGGTATGGAGGCGAAAGGGGAAAAGAAGCAGGCAGAGGAAAGTGAGAGAAAGCTTTCTAACAATGTCATTCTGAAATGAAGGCCAATGTCAAGACACTCTTCCCAGTGTCAAGCACACCTAAACGCAGCAAGAGAAGGCTGCAGAACTCTAGGACTGCCTCCGTCGTGAGACAGATGCAAAAACACCAATAACTTAGCAAAATAAATACAAAGAGAGTTTTGCTGAGATAGATGTAAGCCAGTGAAAACAGTTTTTAGGCTCTGAGTCAGTCGAGAAGGCTGGGGTGTGCTTTGTACTGAATCTCAGGGGAACGGCCCTAAAAGATTCTGTCACACGGAGCTCTCCGGGCCCTACAGAATCTCTGCTAAAAGGTACTTCCTGAAGGTACATTCCCTCCTCCCCAGAATGACAGGCTGGCCCGTCAGGGCTGAGGAAGCCCGCAGTCTACCTGACGGAGGCCTGGTCAGCAGAAGCTGAGGGTGGATCAAGGAGGAAAAACAGTTTGTTGCTAAGCACTGAGCTGTGTTTGCGGAAGGAACTTTGTTCCCCCAGGACACTCTCCAATCACTATGGACACCTGTGCCTCCAGCTTCTAGGGCTGGGGCAAGTCTTGTCACCTCTTCAGCTCTCCTGACCGGAAGAGGGCCTGGCTTCAGGGCCAGCTGAACTCCAGTGTACAACAGAAGGGAGGCTCTGTTAAGAGAAAAATAGTAACTATGGAAACAAGGGCACCGCCCCGGCTTCTGCCAGCAGGATGCGTCCTCCCGAGGGCCGCCGTGTCCGGAGGAGGCGCTCATCCTCCATCCACCCAGCACTCAGAAGACAGGAGTTTGGGGGACGGTGGGGCACTGCCCCAAGCCCCGAGTGCAGCCAGGTAACAGTCAGGAACCCAGAGTCAGTGCTAACAGGCTAGAGAGGCTTCTCCACAGGCGAGAGGCGGCATCAGTCTTCATCACTTCATGTTTCCACCACTCGGATGAGAGGCATGGGCTTAGGGCTGGGAGGCTTGGCTATCCTGACGCTGCAAAGAAAATTGGAAACACTGAGTCCGGGGTCGTTGAGCACCCTTCACAGAGCCGCCCCTCCACGCGTGTCTCTGGAATTCTACACTTCAGAGCCAGCTGAGCTCTCCGCTTCCAAAGGCTTTGAAACAGTCAATATCAGGGACATTTAAGAGAAGACCTGGAGATGGGACTTTGGTCTGGTGGCCGGGGTGATGAAAGCAGAGGGGGCAGGGAAACAGCTGAGAAGTGGGTCTGGCTGGGAGTCCGGATTTTTTTTCAGTCTTGGACCTTTTTCCTTCTCTTGAGGAAAAAAAAAAGACCCTCTTCCTAGAAATACACTTATGTTACACATACACAATTCCTGTGCGCAATTTCAGGAGGTTCATACACCTCTAGCCGCTGTCTGTGGGCCTCCTGGGGGTGGTGGCAGCAGGTTCTACTCTACCCTAGTTAGAAAACGGTTTGGGTGGATTAGAGAGACGGAGAGAATAAAGTTGGGATTTTGTTCCCATAGCTCCCTCTTTCCTTCACTCCCTCTTTGGGCCCCACGCTGGACACACCCACTCACCTGCCCACATTCTCTGTCTTGGCCCAGGTCTGGGTGCTGAAGTTGCCATGGCTGATTTGTTTCTCTATCAGGTGTTCCATCCGGTCGTGCATCTCTAAGTTCTGTACCACAAGTTATGAGGTTAGATGGGCCCTTTTCCTGGCTTGCCAGTTGGTCATATTTAACTATCAATAGCTCATCTGGGTCTCTCCATCTGTTTGCGCTGCTGTTGCCCACACCCCTGCCATGCATGCCACCACCAGGCCCCCTCTCCCCTCCCCTCCCCTGCTCCAAACTGCTCTCTGCCTCCAGGCCCCTTCCCTGAGGATGTGTTCTCTCAATAGCTCTGTGCATCACGGATCGTTTCTTGCATATCCTCTCTCTAGTTTCCTGTATACCATGTCCTAGCATCAGCTGAGATATTTACTTGCCCTTTTCATATGCTATTCTATAACGTATTATTAGATCTTTTTTTTTTTAATGTATTTTATCTCTAAGTCTAGACTGCAAACTCCCTGAAGGTCAAACAGCCCTGTCTCTCATTTCTTTTTATTTTCTTCACACAGTGGCTGCTGCGATTTTTAGGTCATTGACAGACAGGAAGGTTGTCTGAGGGAAGGCAGAAGTTAGACTAGGAGGCACTCAGCTAAGCGAGCCCATCGCCTCAGCCATGGAGAAGAAGCCACCTATCGAATGCCTCCTCCTTCAAAGCCCACCCAGCTCCACTGTCACCTTCACTGCCAAGCCCATACTCAGAATCAAGAGCTCGTCTCCACGCTGCCAGGGCGTGGGCTTGTACCAGAACACAGCCCTTCCGGGTGGGGACAGGTCTTTCCACTGTTAGCAACTCCCTGAAGGTTCTCAGACGTTTACTCAGCTGAACCGAAGATCAATCTACCATCCCAGACACTCACTTCCGAGCAGCGCCTGAACAGGATCAAGACCCCCCACCCCCACCCCAGAACCTCTCCCTCCCTCACGTTCAGTCTTCTCAAGAGCCTGCTCCCTTTCCAGGGCCGCCCGGCACACACACCTCTGCTTCCAGGTAGGCAATTTTCTCCTTGAGTTCCTGGATGGTGGTGTCCTTTGTCTGGATCACAGCTTTTGAATTCTGGAGCTGCAAAGGTGTGGGAGACGCTGGAGTTCATTTTGAAATGACTCATTATACACTCATCGAATTTCGCCCCGCTGCCGGAGAAGCCCGCAGAGATGCAAGGCAGTTTGCACCATTCACACGGCTTGCTTGGCTTTTCTATAAAAGCTTTATCTCAGTCACTATGAAACTCTGGATTATTCTAGGTATGGGGGTAGGGGTGCAAGGGGAACAGCAACCTGATAATCCAAAGAAATGGATAATTCAAAAGCCATTCCATTTGTCTTGGGGAAATACAAATTATTTATTCACTTAAGAGATATTTATTGAGGCGGCCAGTTATTTCAGCTGGTTAGAGCGCAGTGCTCATAACAGCAAGGTTGCTGGTTCAATCCCCACATGGGCCACTGAGCTGCACCCTCCACAACGAGATTGAAACAACTATCCGATTTACTACCTGACTTGGAGCTGGTGGGTCCTGGAAAAACACACTGCTCCCAATTAAAAAAAAAAATTACTGAGTGCTTACTATACGGCAGGCCCTGTTCTGGACTAGGGGTCGGCAAACTTTTGAGACGGAAGAGCCGCCAAGGGTCAGCAACTGTGGCTCGCGAGCCACATGCGGCTCTTTGGGTACGTACATGTGGCTCTGAAGTAAAATTGAAAATTAAAATAAAACTGTCATAGTTTTATTTATAAAATTACGTTACATTTTCATTATTTGTAAAAATATATTTATGGCTCTTGAATAATTTTTAAATTGTTGTGAGGGACAGGACTGGCTCTTCCAGGGGTCGGCAAACTTTTGAGACGGAACAGACCCAAGGAGCCGTATGTGGCTCGCGAGCCGCAGTTTGCCAACCCCTGTTCTAGATAATGAGAACCAGCAGTGACTGAAACAGAAAAAATCCTAGCCCTTTTGGAGCTGACATGCAGCTAATATGCCCTCTCACTTGGAAGGTCTTAAATTCTCAAAACAATTCTGCAGATCGGTGTATCCTGAGGATGCCACCCTAAGACTCAGGCGGAGGAAATCTGCCTCGAGGTACAGGGCTGAAAACCTGCACACAGATAAGTGCGCCTATTGTGACGTAATTGTTCATTCACCATCTCTCTTCAAAGCGTAAGAGAAACTACCCTTTCCTTCTTTTCCCATTGGAAAGCCCGAAGGCAAATGACCAAAAATAAGGGAGAAAGGCAAATCCCAATCATGCAAACCTAATGACTGGCAGCCAGAGTGTTTCGTGAGACACTTAGGCACAGAAGCCCAACTCCCAGGAGAATCAATAAATAAAAGGGTAACCCCGAGGAGCAGCAGGGTTAGACTCAATGCGGCGCCTTCCTGGGGGTGGCCCGAGCTGGGCAGGTGGCCCTGCTCACCTGCTCTATCATCTGCCGGACTTTCCGCTGCTGGCTTTTCAGCATGTCATCCAGGTGGTGAATCTTCTCCCGCAGCCCAGCCACCTCCTTTTCCAGGGAAGCAGCCCTGGGGATCAAGGTCAGAAGGCTGAGGCAAGCAGAAGACATACTTTCTCTACCCCCAGAAAGGGCCTTGGGCTCGGGGTTCCATCCGGGGTGATCTCCTCTGCCTGACTGCCCAGTGCTTGGCGCTAAGGAGCAGGTGGGGAGGACACCTTAGATCACCCCAATGGGATGTCCCTAAAGACCACGTAGACCAAACGAGGAAACTGAAGCTCTGAAAGGTGAGAAGGGATAAGACAGCCTGGCTAGCTCTAGAGGGCAAACTAGAACCAGCAGGTAGGTAGGGGTCCCAGGGAAGCAGTTCTTAGGTAGACACAGAAGACTTTCTCATAACTGAAGCGGTCAGAAGTGGGCTGCCTCGTGTGCAACAAGCTCCTCGGTCCTGGAAAGAGGAGCTGGGGTATGACATCCAACCCCACCAAGCTGGCGGCAGGGATTTTATATCAAGAGAGAGATCACATCTGAGGCTCCTTCCAGCCTCTTCACTCATGTCTGCCTCTACGTCTCCAGATGCTGCTTCCTTTGCATCTTCTGGGCAAACTGGGCCAACATGGCCACAGGTCAGGCAGCTGGGAGAGTGTCCTGGAGCTCAGACCTCTGAAGAATTCTGGTACCCAACACTCTTGGGTTCTACCTGTGGAAGCAGACAAGTGCCCGCTGCCAGCAGGTGGGCAGTTCCGGGGCGCGGTGAGGTATAATGTAGTCTGAGCCCCCCAAGAACCTTCTTCCTAAGCTTCAAAAATTCTAAGTTTCCACTCTCAGCTCTCCAGAGCCGTCTCTCTCTGTCTCCTTTTATTTAGAATGTCAGCATTTATGAGGCAGGGTTATCACTTGCCATCCCCCAGCCTCGGTTCGGGATTATCTGGTCCTCTTTGTTTCTCCTGCTCCCTCCTCTCTGGCCTGCTCGTGAGCACCCCACCGCGGGGGAGGACAGAGTGCCGAGTTCCTTAAAACAACTCTTGCGATGAAGTCGAGCCAGAAAGAAGGCTATACGTCTGCACGTTCCATGCTAGGCAGGCCTGGGTCATGGTTATCTCAAAGGAGAGAAAATGCCCCCAGCAGGTTGAGGGGTCCAAGAGCCATGGATCGTGTCTGTTAACCTTGGAATTCCTTAGAAGGCCCTTCAGGTAATGTCTGTTGAAGTTGAAAAGGTCCAACTCCTACAGTGGAGATCAGACCCGACGTGCTGATGTTAAATTTGATTTACCCTTTGCGATCTTCTTTATTAATTGCCAACGGCATAAAGAATTTCCAAATTCTTAAAGGTCCAGAGTGGCCCAATCTTTGCTCTGTAGGTGTCACTGGTCTGAGGCCTCTGATCCCTTCTGATTAGAGGGGATCTGCAAAACCATCTAACCTCAGGGTAGAAAAGATCTCAGAAATCCCCTCTGTGCCACTAGACAGGTAGTTCTCAGTTTCTGAGTCGGTTCTGTATTTCTCCGCAAAGCTGCTCACCGTATTTTTCATCAGCACAACTTGTGAGGAAGTTACCCGACTTTACTCTCCAATAGTTTACAGTCAGTTGTCGTTTGGGGAGAAGAAAGCTGTAGCGTGACACCAGCCCATCCACACACAGGGTCACGACCTGTGGGATGATGTGCGGCAACGGCAGATGCTTTTCCAGCGCTCATTTGACCTTGGCTCTCAAGCCATAAAAGCCTTTTCTTGAGAATGTCACTCCATGAAAAATGAACTCCCCAGAGATGGCAGCCTCCCAAGCAGTCGATCCCTGGGCGGGGTCCCGTGGTGAGCAGGCACAGTGTGAGTCAGAGCTGGAAGATCTGACATCAGCACCAGCTTCTTCCCCAGGTTTGGCCACCCTGAGAGCTGCAGGCTGCAGGGCCCGCCCTCCCCTCCCAACACCCCAGCTGCACAGGGAACAGGGCCCTTACTTTTCTTGTTCTGCTCGGCAGTCAGCATTCTTGCTCCGAAGTTCCTCAAGGGCTGTCTCCCCTTCCCTGACCTTCGCCAGTAAGGTCTGATGCTCCTAGAGGGGCCGAAGGAAAGAAAATCGAGGGTGAGGGGATGCCAACAGTTTCTGTGACAGTTTGGAGGTGAGCTGGGTACTAGGGCTGGAGCTCAGCCCCTCCTGGGACTGGGACAGCTGCCAAGAGCAGCAGGCCCAGCTGGTTTGATGGGGTGCCCTCCCCCCTCAGCAACAACCCTGCCCAGCCTCAGCCAGCTGCCCGGAGGGAGAGCCTGGCCCTGCCATTACCCAGGCCCAGCGGCCAGCGATGGCCGCCAATCCCTCAGAAGCCAGGCTGAGTGGCTCCTCTAGGGCAGCTGCACCAGAATCCGCTTAAATGGAAATGGGCGCAACTCTAGTGAGCGAGGGCTGACGCTGATGAGAAAAAGGCCTTTTCCTCCTTTTAAAGGCTGAAAGGTGCTCGAAGGTAGTTGCCAAAGGAAGCTGCGAAGTGTGCTTTTCTGGAGCTGCTCAGAGAAGGAGAGTGCGCACGGCCGTGTCAGTGGACCCTGGGATACCCAACCCCGGGTAAGCACGTGACAGGCAGGGTCCAGCCCTTACCGTCTCCATCCCCGACAGGCGCCTCTGCAGCTCGCCCGCTTCCATCTCCTTCTGCTCCAGTCGGTCCTCCACTCTCTGCAGGGCTTCCTGGCTCTCCTCTGCCTCTCTCCGGTATTGGCTGAGTGTGACCTAAGACACAGCATGGGGACGTGTGAAGTGGGGCGAAGAAAGCGCAGATGTGGATAAAAACCTTAGAAAAGGGCCCAGGAGCCTGGGCACGGTGATGGGAGGAGGAGGCAACTCTGGTAAGCACCCTGCCATCCCCCATCCACCACTCTGGGACCACTCGGGTGATGAGCAGGTCAACTCCACGCCCAGGGTGCATCGGCACAAAGTGGGTGAAGCTGCACTTCAGAGCGACACCTGGAACCCATAAGCATCACTCTCCAATGGCTGACTTCAACATATCCTCGCGTCCTCCAAGGCCACCCCAGGTTAACCCAATGCCGTGGCTTTCCTACAAATGCAAACACAGGGAAGCCTGGGGGATGGGGGGTATCTCCACACCCTTCCTTCTGTACCCCAACTCTTCCTCAGCCTTGCTTCAAGCCCTGTTGCAGCCTACATACAAAGGCCAAGGGCTACGAAGCACCAGGAAGAATTTTTATTTTTTAATCTGAGATGACGAGCTAATTAAGAAAGGATAGAAGCAGATTTTAGGATGAAAAAGGAAACAACTTGCCCCTTTCCCTCTCACATGCATTTTGCCAACTCCTAATTATCCTTCGGGTTTCAGCTGAAGACACCCTTTCTTCCAGGGAGTCGCCAAGCCTGGAGGAGGATCCCCCACAGGACACATATTACCCTGAGCCTGGCCACTCGTGTGCACTCCCTAAGTAGGCTATCAGTTTCATGGTGGCAGAGATTCGAGCACCCTTACATTTCCAAAGCTCAGCACAGTACCCAGCACAGTCACTGCTCGATGAAACGACAAATAGAACTGATGCTCATTGGGTCCAACCCTCTCCTTTCACAGCTAAAGGTCAACCGACTTATTCAAGGTCACACAGCTAGAACGCAGTTAACTCCATCATCTGTTTCAATGCTTTCCAGTTACCTCACGCTGACCCTGCCATCCGTTACTGAAAGAGAACCCACGTAACCTCTGGGAAGTCTAACTGGCCCTGGGAAAATAGAACACCAACAGCCAGTTTGTCCAGCTCCTCCCAAAGTTATAATCAGGGAGGAGAAAGCAAAGCTCAGGATGATGAGAGATGGGACGTGTCCACACTGCACACCAGCCTCGTCCACAGCAGACTCGCTGCAAATCCTTCCTGACAGCAACAGCTAGTAGAACAGAAAACCCACGCTTAATGGCAACCTGTTTTCACGGTAACTGACAACTTTGCCCTTCCTACTCCCAGGTTCATAAATGTAGGCCAGAGAGTCCAATTCGTTAGGAGATACCGAGAAAGCCATCAAATGTCCCACGTTAGCCTGGAACAAGCCAGCCCCACAGGCAGAAACTTAAAATCAGGCCTCTCATTTCTGTACATAAACATGGTACTCAGGTTGATGGGTGCTCGGAGCACGGCGTCAACAGGCTTTGGGCCAATTCTCACACCTCACGGTAGGATCACAAGGGAAAAAGAAAACTATGCCCCCTGTCACAGTTGTCCCTGTAGCTCCAGCCAGCCCTGCACTAAAGGAACCTCTTCATAAGAGAGGGTACCAACCCACCCCAACAGTGGGACCAACCCAGGAGCACTATGCAGGTGGGTGCTGTGTACCATGCGGTTAAAGGGCAGCCCCTCCTAAGAAGCTAAGGGCGTGTTGCTACAGCTATCAGCGGCCTTCTCAGGACACCTTTGCTCAAGCTTTGAGTCCTCCACATGTGGCCAAAGCCGACAAGTGCTACAAAGTGCCTCTCAATGCAGAACTTTCTCTCCAGAATTCAGCCTGGTCAGTGCTGCAGTCTCAGCCTCCCCTTCCTCCTGTTCTACTCCAAGAGGGTAGGGAACAGCTGGTCACCAAGCTGACACATCACCAACCACATGATCCCAGTTGCAGAAGCTGAAATAGATGCGGCAAACGCCTTCACTATACAGCTACTTGGTCCTAAGAGCAAACTAACCTTCGTACTGCCCGAAGACCAAACCTCTCAGGAGAGGAAATCCTACCTGCCTGTTATACTGGTCACTCAGAAAAATACAGAGAGCTTGTATTTCTAAAATCCTTCAGAGGAGTGAATATATTTACATATATTATCTCACTCAATCCACACACCAAACTCATGAGGGATATCCATGACCGCTTTTTACAAAAGTTGAAACTGCTGCTTAGGGAGGTTAAATTCCTTGTTCAAATAAACACTTCGACTGCATGAGAAGCAGCCAATCCGTCTCCGTGCCTTTCTTCCTCACCCTCAAAACTTCTCTGTCTCGTGAAAGACAAGAGTTCAGGGCGGCCTTCCTCTTTCCACAGCTCCCGGCATGCCTGGGCAGGGCATAATCCTATCATTACATATTCATGACATAAATGCCTTACGTGGGGATGAATAATAGCAGATAACAGATAGTTAATCTCACGCAGAGTAGTTAGAAACACCACCCAGTGTTTGCTCAGTGTACCTCAGGTTAGACTCAAAAGAATTTTCTGGAAAAGTATGGAAGACTTCACACACTTTTAATAGTGGGGGGCTTTCACTTTCTACTTAGACACTTTTGTAGTTTTTAAATCTTCTATAATAATCTAGTATTACTTTTATAACAATAGTTGAGGTATTTGTTCAAGACCTCAAAGCCCTGTGAAGTTAAGCCAAGACTAGATGTGAAGTCCCCTGACTCCATGGGCAGAGTTCTTTCTACAACCACAAAGATCCACCCACTCGTCCAGTCGACATGAGGTGCCCACCTTTTGACAGGTATGACAGGCACTGAGGATGCGGTGGAGAACTTGACAGCAACAGTCCTCGCCTACGTGGTGCCTGAAGCCCAGTAGTTCTTATTGTGGTGCTTAGCAAAACAACTTTTGAATGACCCGCTCTCCCAGACCAGCACCACCGTTCAACTTCAGTAGAGCTGACCTTTGACCTATGGGCTAGCCTTGGACAACAAAAACTATAAACATCCAGCAGAGGGAAAAGCAGACAAGAAGTGTCCCAGGCATCAAAGTCTAGCCTCCAGTTGATGGCACCCAGCCAGAAAGACATGAAGTCCACCCAAGAAGGTTGCTGGTAACTGTATCCAGTAGCCCCACCCTTGGGGCACCTTCTCCCCAGATCCCACATCTCACCTCAAAAGCCACACGGTCTGACTGGTGCTGCCAATCAGCCTCCCGCAGCTTGGCTAGCAAGTCCTTCACGGTCTTCCTCAAGCTCTTGGCATCTTCATTTACATAGGTGTCCACCTAGAGCCAGAGTGGGGAACGAAAGGTGAAGCCACCATGTTTGTGACTCGGTAAGAGAAGGTTCACCCCAACACACACTTCTTTGAACCACCTTGACCGGATCACTCTCACAAAAAAATTCACATCACACAGGGGAGAGTGGGTGTTAGGCACCCAGGGTTCTGAGTTATTCATATGAAAACACTCTCCTCAGACCCTAAGGAACTCAACTAGCCTCAAATCACCTGATTATTTTAGGACACACGCATTTTCATCCGTGTATCAACTGGTTAACAGGTGTGTGTCAGTGCCATCGTGTGTGTATTCTGTTTCCATCAGACCAGCTCTCTGACAGCGGGGACCCTGTTCCCCTTTGGACTGCAGCCCTCAAGGGCACAGACTGTACCACCCCCATCAAAGGGGTGCATCCCAAACGCACATCTTTTGCTATTCTCTGCACCTAGCACAGAGAACAGCATGTAAAGGGTTATTGATGGATGGGAAGGTCTGGGGCGAAAGCACCCCATCAACCCAGGACTTCTGAATCCATGGAAAAAAAGAAGCCTCATCGATTTTACTGAGATTCTCTCCCCAGATGTGCTCCATCATGGGCTGGGGTTAGGGCTGAGCTGGCATGTAGGGTCTCGCGCCCACCTGGGCCGCCTAGGTACCTGAAACCAGTTACCAGCTAGCTCCCTGTGAGTCTGACAGGAACACCTGTCTTGCGCCAGGGAAGCAGCAACGCCTTCAAACCAGGGCACAGAGCTCTCAGCTGGGAGGAGGGTGAGGGGTCCCAGTCGCTGGGTTATTATTGAGTTCTGTGGGCCTTTGGATGCCTCACCACGCCCTGCCTTACATATGGGCTGCTTCAGAAACGAGATAACATTGGGTAGGGCTTGGAGCTCGAAGAAAGAGGCTGGACAGATAATATCCGGTGTTATTATTGGGTTGTCGGAAAAGTCATGACATATTTTTTCTATGTTTTTCGTTGCAAAAATGCATCATGACTTTTCCAACAACCCAATATATCTTGTGGCCAACAGCACATTTGCCAAATATGGTGATTCAGGGGAAGGAAAAATCCAAGCTGTACATCTGCAGTGAGCGGCCAGAATCACAACATTCCAAATCCAGCCGTCAGGAAGTTCTCCAGCCAGGTCTCCATACCTCTACCTAAGCTGCCGGGCAGGTGAGAGCGATTTCAAAGGCTCCTAGGGCATAACTATGATGTGTCTAATTCAGATGCTGTTCTCAGGGGACTACTGAATGACATGGAAAATTTTCATAATATAGAGAAAAAAGGGAGTTAGAAAACCACACGTCGGAGTTAGAAACAAGAAACTGGATTTGAACACAGCAGCGTTGGTAGCTCTAAAAGCGTGGTGTTGTGTAAAAAAGGAAGAAACAAAAATATAGTACCAGTCCATTATGAAAATTTAAAATATATTTAATAGGCATATTTAAATCATATTTTGAATATATGAAAGTGATAAGTACCTTTTGGTGGGGGAAGGGAGAGGCCGAGAAAAAAAAAACCATGTAAAACCAAGGAGACGCCTGTATGATAACTGGTGGGTAGGTCTCATTCACCTCTGTACCTGAGAGCCAAAAATAACCAGTCCAAAAAAAAAATACCCACCCAAACAAATACAAGGAAATGCTGGACACAGTATAATATCAATATTGTAAATATATGTATATTTGCAGTGAAGGAAAGACAAGAAAAATGTCACCAAGCTGTGGGTTTTCTCTGGGTAGGTTACAATTGATTTTTTTTTTCTTTCACTTTGGATTTTGAATTTCCCAAATTTTCTATAATAAGCAAGTCTTCGTATTATATAATCTCAAAAATAATAACGTATCATTTTTTAAAAGTACAGCCGCGTTTGTCGATTATACCTCAATGAAGTGGGGGGTCGGGGGGGGCCGAGGAATTAAAAAAAAAGAAAAAGTAGAGCCATGGGAGGAAAAAGTCTGTTGTCATTCAAAAGCATGAGGTAGATTTACAAGTACTAACATGGAACGAAGGTTATAATATACTCTTCAGTTTAAAAAAATAAGAAAGTTGGGCCGGCCGAATGGCACGTTGGTTAAGAGCTGGCTTGGGACGCCAGTTCTGAGCAGCAGGGCCCCGGTTCGGATCCCACATGGGGGCCAGGGACACTGTCCTCTACAGCTAAGATGGTGAACAACAGCTTGACCTGGAGCTGGGATGCCGTGAGTCGCCAGCGACGGTGTAGGCTGCAGCCCCTGCTGCAGTGGGCTGCCATAAGCTACTGTGTGTGGCCCGGCAGCCAACCTGAGCAGCCGGCAGCTGGTGTGAGCTGCCAAGAGCCGCAGTGAGTGGCCGTCAGAGGCCGGCGACCGATCTGCCTCACCCGGGAAGAGCGCAATGATAATACCAACATGGGCCAGTGAAGCAACGTCCTCCACAACTAGACTGAAGAACAAAAGGACAGCAACTTGTCTGTTCCCCTTCCCTGATTCCCCAACGCTGTTCCCCTCCCCCAATTCCCCCCAAAAATCTTTAAAAATTAAAAAATAAGAAAGCAAGGGATTTATTAATCATGACCTTGTATGTGTGAAAAATATGTGTATATTATATCCATACATTTATGCAAGTACATTTGGTACCTGGGTATATATTAAGATACTCAAAGGCATACATACATATGACATTTAAATATGGTTGTCTGCATATAGAGAAACACTCTAGAACATTGGTACTCAACTTTGGCTAAACTTTACAATCACCTGAAGAGACATTAAAAGTCCTGATGCCAAAGCCACATCTCAGATCAATTAAATTACCATCTCTAGGGACGGCATACAGGCACCGTGTCTTTCAAAGCTCCTAAGGCCATGGAAATGGGCAGTAAAGGCTGACAAGCCACTTCAGTCAGTTAACAGCAAATCCTTCCAAGGAATGGGACTGGGAAGGGAGCCCTGCCACTTGATGTTTCTCCATCGTTCGAATTGTTATAGCAAGTGAGCACTCCTCTTACTATACTTAGTGAGAGAGAAAGCAATAAAAAAAAGGGGGTCAGGGAGGACATGCGGCCTCCTGCTAAGCACTGGTTACCAGCTTTCCCTGTCACCTACCTCAGGGGGGCTGCTGTACCCGGTCCTGGGGCTTTGGCTAAAGCCGTTTGGCTTTTCTAGCAGCACCTGTTCGAAGAAAAATAAAATTGGTGATTAAATTGGTCCCAAGCAACCAACTTCGAAACATTCTTCTCCTAAAAGCTCAAATCTTAGCTAGCTAGATGGATGGATGGATGGATGGATAGATAGATAGATAGATAGGAGAGAGAGAAGGAGGAAGAGAAAAAAGAGAAGGAAGGAAGGAAGGAAGGGAGGGAGGGAGGGAGGGAGGGAGGGAGGAAGGGAGAAGACAGAAAAGGAGGGCGGGGGAAAGACGCCCAGTGCTGTGTGGAAAAGTGGAAAGGAGAGTGGAGACCCTCCTGCAACCTTGACAGTGAATACTTGAGCCTGGTAGGGAGGAGGAAGGAAACCTCAGGCTAAAGCCCTTTCAGCAGACTGAAAAGTATGCAGATCCAGTCCCTGCAGCCCAAGGAATACAAGCAGCTGCCTGCCACAAAGTGTTCCCCTCGCCCCGGGGATCCCGACAAGGTTTGACAAGGCATAAATCAAAAGGGGAAGCAGCATTTGCTGCAATTCTCTCCAACCCAAAGGCTGAGTCTTCATCATATGACTGCTGGTTTGTGCAAACAAGGGGCCTGGACTTCTGAGCCAGGTCTGAGCACAGTATGTTCTTCAGTCACCTGACAAAGCTCCTCCCACCAACCAGATGTGAGCTCAGGCACTGAAAGTCCTACTTTCAGCCAAAGTGAGATGCATTAGGGCCAATGGGCCATGTAGCCAGTACACGCCCAAACCAAAGGGGAATTTGGCTGCCACTAGCCGCTACGTCACGTCACGGTTCCCCTCAGGGGCATGAAGACAGGCTGCTGCTGGAGAAAGACCATCCCACCCAAACCAAACACCAGTGACTGAGAGACCACTCAAGATCTAAAGGAGGCTGAGGGTGAAGTCATGAAAGAGACAGTTCTACTCCCCTCAGGACATTTCCATCCTGAAAGTGTAGAAACGCTGAAAAGCAGGATCCCAGGATTGTCCATCCCAGGAAGGCTCAGGCAATCGATTCAGTCAGACAAACCTATCCTGGACCTCCTGCACCCCGGCCCCTGTGCTGGGTGCGGGCATGCAGAGACGCGGGTGGACCCTGACCTGGGGGGTCTCCCCCTCCCAGGGAAGAGGCAGCGACATGCACAGATAAACAACAGACAAGGACCCAGGCTTTCCACCTTCCACTACAGGTGTCACCCCAATTGAGCAAGATCAACTTACAAGTTTAGATTTGCAGGTGACTGTCAGCTTTATAAGACACTGTAGTACAAGGTGGATCCCACAATCTTTACGGCCAAGAGGTTTTGCCAATACCATAATGATCATTTTTTTATATAAATTCCATTTTTGGACAGCGTTTTAGGAACGGGTGTACTTCTATATGGGCAGATAACATAGGGCAGCACCCAAGCTGGAGCACCCTAACAAGGCGTTGAGAGCTCAGAGAAGCCACTATCGCTTATATTCTCTCCTTTCCTGGCAGTGGTATTAGATGTGACACCCTCTGGGTGACTGGTAAACGGGCTGCCTGGCACGACCCCACCTCCTCAGTGGAGACCCAACCACGGATCATTTCCCATTACCTGTATCTCCTGTGTGTGGGGAGACTCTCCTGGGTCTCTGTCGAGCTTGCTACTTATATCCTCGCGGAGCTTCTGCAGGCAGTTCCTGGCCTAGGAAGGGAGGACAAGAAGCTTTAGGTCTGGGATAAGGAAAAAGCGCACGCCAACTCACCCACCTCTGTGCCCATCCCAACCCTTACTCCAAGGAGTCAGGTACCATTTGGGCTCTGGCTGGGGGAAGGAGGGACCGTGGTCAAGTGGGGCTGCAGCCTAATCCCTCCTGTACAAGCAATAAAATAAGCAAAACCTCTGCCCTGGGGAGCATTCTAGGTGGGGAGACACACAACACAAAAGACAAATCAACAGAAACATGTAATGTTATATGGAGACAAGTGCCGGGGGAGGGTAAGGAAAAGCTGGAGAAGCAAAGCCGGTGATTTCAAACAGGATGGCTGGGCTGGGATAGTGCTGGGCACTTACGTCGGATCCTACAAACGCAGGGATTCCCCCAAAATGTGATATTTAGAGAAATGACCGAGGTCATTTCCACAGAAGAAAGGGGTACCCACCTCCTGGATGTACTGTACCTCACTCTTCAGCTGGTTAATATTCTTCTCATGGGTCATCTTGTCTCCAGGCCTCCCCTTCAAGTACACCTAACATATGGAAAAGAACGCTATTTAGTTAAGAAACCTCCGGCTGGGGTGACCGGTTAGTTCAGTTGGTTAGAGCGCCGTGCTGATAACATCAAGGTTGCCAGTTCAATCCCCGCATGGACCACTGTGAGCTGCACCCTCCTTAAAAGAGTCAACTATGCCACTGTAGCATGAAAGCCATGTGTAACCAATGACCATGGCTGTTCCCCAATCAAAAAATAAAAAAATAAAAACCACTGCTAAATTAACTCTACACAGGCACCATACACACTGCTGATGGGAGAGTAAACGTAAAACCTTTCTGGGTGGCAATTTGGTGATTCAGATCGGAAGACTTACAACTATATTTACTCTTTGATCTAGCAAATCTACTTCTGGAAATGTATCCTAATGAAACACATTTCGCTAAACTGGCATAAACACTCATATGTATGTAAATTCATGGAAGGTTGGTAAAGGGGATTTATACATTTTTCTCTGTATGCCATGCTTGAATCATTTGCAATTGAGGAAATGTTCCTTTATAAAACACAGACACGCAATTGAATAGCATATATGTTCCACAAAATATTGTTTATGGCTGCAAAAAACACACAGATAAAATGTCCAACGATGGGGGATTACTTAAATAAATTATGGCATGTCTATAACAGAATACTATGCAGCCATTAGAATGCCAGATATTTACATTTATGGACACAGAAGATATTATAAACTACCGTTAAAGGCAGGGAGCAAGCAAACTGTAGAATAAAGTATATAACTTTATTTTTTGAAAAAATACATAAAAATACAATAATGCCTGAGAGGATATACAATAAAGTGTTAACAATGATTACATTGATAGACTTATGAAGTAGTTTTACTTTCAAGGGCCATGCAATGACTTTGAGTAAGAAAAAAAATTAATTAAATACATCCAGATTGCAAAGGAAAAGATAAAACTATATTTGCAGGTGACACGATCATGTATATAGAATATCCTAAGGAAACCACAAAAAGACTATCAGAACAAATAAAGGAATTCAGCAAGGGTGTCGGATATAAGATGAATATACAAAAAAAAAAAATACCTGTAGTTGTGTTTCTATATAATAGCAATAAACAATCTAAAAATGAAATTAAGGAAACAATTCCATTTACAACTGCGACAACCAAAAAATACTTAGAAATCAATTTAAGAAAGTTCGAGACGTTCTGAAAATTACAGAACACTATTAAAAGAAATAAAAGAAGACCCCAAAAATGAACAACATCCCGTTTTTTATGGATTGGAAAGCTTAATATTGTTAAGATGGCAATACTCCCCAAATTGATCTACAGATTCAACAAAATTCATATCAAAATCAAAGCAGGATTCTTTACAGAAACTGACAAATTGACCCTAAAAGTCATATGGAAATGCAAAGGATCCTAAATAGCTATAGCATTCTTGAAAAAGAACAAATTTAATCCAAAGCTCAGAAATCAACATAGGGTGCGACTGGCATAAGGACAGACACAGATCAGTGGAATACAATTGAGAGTCCAGAAATAATAATAATAATATACTCAACTGATTTTGGACAAGAATGCCAATACAATTCAATGAGGGGAGAACAGCCTTTTCAATAACCAATGTTGATAAAAGGATCCACATGTAAAAGAAGGAAGTTGGACCCCTTCCTTACACCATACACAAAAATTAACCTGAGATGGATCATAGACCTGATTCGTAAGAGCTAAAACTATAACTCTTTGAAGAAAATGTAGGAATAAATCTTTGTGGCCTTGAGTTAGGCAGACTTCTTAGATACGATACCAAAAGCAAAAGTGACAAGAGAAAAAAATACATAAATTGGATTTCATCACATTAAAAACTTTTGTTTCAAAGGCCATCATCAAGAAAATGTTAAAAACCCCACACAAACCCATAGGGCGGGAGAGAAGTTCTTAAATATTTCCAAATCATATCTCTAACAAGGGTCTAGTGTCCAGAATATATAAAGAACCCTTACATCTAATCAATTAAAACACAACTGAATTTTTAAATGGGCAAAGGATTTGAAAAAAAAAAGATTTCTCCAGAAAAAATATACAAATGGCCAACAAGCATATGAAAAGATGTCATGAAATGCAAATTAAAACTACAACAAGATACCACTTTTCATACATTAGGATGGTTATAATAAAAAAGATGGGTAATAACAAGGGTTGGTGAGGATGTAGAGAAATTGGAACCCTCATACAGTGTGATGGGAATGTAAAAGAGAACAGATACTTTGGGAAAAAGTCTGGTAGTTCCTCAAAATACTGAATATAGAGTTACTATGACCTAGCAATTTCACTTCTAGGTATATACCAAGAGAATTGAAAACATGTTCACAACAAAAATTGTACATGAACGTTCAAAAAAGCATTATTCATAATAGCCGGAAAATGGAAACAACCCAAGTGTCCGTCACTTGAAGAAAGGGTAACAAAATGTGATATAGCCACCCAAGAGAATATTATTCAGCCATCAAAAGGAATGAGTACTGACATGTTACAACATGGCTAAACCTTAAAAACATTATGTTAAGGGAGAGAAGCCAGTCACAAAAGGCCACATATTGTATGATTCCATTTATATGCAATGTCTAGAAGAGGCAAATCCATAGAGACAGAGAGTAGATTGGTGATTGCCAGGAGCTGGAAGGGTGACTGAAAATGTTCTGGAATGAATAGTGGTGATGGTCACTCAACTCTATTAATATATTAAAAACCACTGAATTGTACACTTTAACTGTGTCGACTGTATGGTATGTGAATTATATCTCAAAAAGCTGGTTTTTTAATAAAGAATAACAAAAATTATTTTAATGTTTAAAAATAAGTTCCATGAACACACCTCTCATCTGTCTCTCCAACCTCCAGTACCTAAACATGGGCAGTGGCTAGGTACCTAAATAGGTCATGCCATCCATTGCCGTGCCAGGGGCCAGGCTGCACCAGGGTCACTAGAGACTGACTGTGGTCTCCTGGTGTCGATTACAATCTTTCTAGGAGATGGCCCGGAACTAGCATGGCAGGTCTGGTCTTCCTACTCAAACCATAAGCTCCTTTTGGCAAAAGCCACTCACGCCCTGGTGCCCGTAGGGAGAAAGGGGGTGGGGGGCGGGGAGAACAGGTCCACGGGAACTCAGCTCACCTTAATGATCTCCTCATGTCCATCACTGGACTCCACCAGTTCTGAGGCCAGAGAATGACTGGTGGAGCAGCCAGACACCATGGCATAGGTCTTCCCGCCTGCCTGCAAGAGAGAGACAGAGAAAGTGGCTCAGACACCGTACGGCAAGCCCCAAACTTCTGCCCCTTGACCAATACAGAAGACTTGCTCCTCAAACGACTCCAAGGGTTAGTCTGACTTTTTCCTCCAAAAATTCATTTTAAAACCTCTACCAGAAGCCACACAGCGGCACGAACACTGCACGAGGACAATTAGTAGAAACCGCAGGTTAGTTTTCATTTTTAGTGGGGGGTCTCCCCATCCCCCAAAGCAGTGCGCAATGCTGAGGTCAGCTGGGTGTGTCTGAAAGCGGAAAACGCTCCCGGGCGGCAGCAGAGATGGCCCCAGGCAGCACTGGCATGAGGGGTCAGCGGCAAGGCAGAAGTGGCTGAAGATAGGAGGCCTCGCCCCACCAGACACCTCCATACCTTCCGGGCTATGTGTTCAAGTTCATCTCCTGTCAGTTCACTCTGGAGAGCCAGTCTGAGAATGTCCATGCTGCCCTAATAATGACAATGACAGCGACAATAACCCCTTACCTTTAGCCTATGACAGGGACAGGTACACTTTTGCCAGCCCTACGGAGTGGGCCTTATTATTGCCATTGCACAGACAAAAAAAATAAATAAATAAAAGCTGAGGTCTGGGAAGGTGACATTAGCTTGTCCAACATCAGGTCGCCCGTGGGTGTCACCAGAGACTACACAGTGCACTGCTCCATGCAGCTCCGAGGGGCTACCCTGGTCCTCGGGTTACAGGAAGCACATTGCAGGGTCTCCCCTTACCCCACCCCTGAGGAGGGCATCCCTGGACTGGTCATCCCCAATCCAGAACTTCTATACCTGGCAACCACCGGGAAGTGACAGATACCCATTACTAGACTAGGATATCTTTCCTGAACCAAACTATAGGAAGATACCTGAATCCAAACCCCTGTTTCTAGGAGCCACACAAAATCATCCAAATGAAAGCAGGCAAGATAGTAGGTATTTATCTAGTGATCGGCCTACTTTGAAAGGAAGAAGCAGATTCTTTTTATAATTCAAAAGGCTTAAAAAACACATTATGGGAAAAATAGAAAACCTGAGGGAAAATGATGTGGTAAGAGGGAAAGTAGGGGCTGGAGATTCGGGGATATAACAACATTGAGAGGGTCAGCAAGGCAGAATGGACCAAAGCCTGCCAATCACCTGTGTTATGTGTAGAGGAGGATGAGAGACTCAGCCACTCCAGGCCTCTGGTGCCCACCAGAAAAAATCAGAGGTTGGTCTAAATCTCTCTAAGGATCCTTCCAGCCTCAGTACTGTGACAGCAGGAAAGAGGACTATATGCCTCTTCCAGGCAATGAAGAGAAGATGGTACTAAACTACCCAAGGATGAAAGTGACCTTGAGGTCATCGGGTCATCCCCTGCCTTGAGGTTCAGAAATCCAAATGCCACCTTACTCTTAACAGATTTTAAGGAACCCTCTTAACCTTCCGAGTGTCTGTTGGAAGGAAAGGAAGAAGAAAGGATGGACTCTGCCCAGGGAGCTGGGAGAAGCTTCTGTGGGCAGCAGTAGTCCTTCCTACAAAAGAAAGAGCAACTTGGCGGAGAACGCAGTCTCCGTGGTCAGATACTTAACTCTCAGTGTTCTCACTGCAAAATGGGAATACTCCCATCCAACTGAGGAATTTTTTGGTTGAAGATTTAACTGAAAATGTGTGGAGGCTGTTCTCTGCCACAGAAGAGGGCGGTGTTCGAATATTACCCTCCTCCCACTTCTTGGAACAACCCAAATTTAGGAAAGATGGAAGACACTCCCACATGACCCTTAAGCCCTCTCAATTCTGGCAGTGTAGCTGGTTTTACAACTTAATTCCTATCGAATAAAAGCCAGATCCTTAGTGTGTGTGACATTTAAGGTTCTCCACAGTCAGGGTCACATCGTCTCTTCTGCCACTGCCCGTCATTGCTCCCCATCCAGTACACCCCACGCTTTCCCACTTCAGCCACTTTGCTGTCATCCTTTCTCTTTTAAATGTCCTCTATTCCAATTTTCACCTGGGCATCTGCAAGCCCCTCGCAAGTTCACATTCAAATGCCACATCTTCCACAATGCTTCCCAACATCCTGTGGGAGACACACGCCTTCTCTGAGCTTGCAGCAGCATCACAGGGCCTCCTGGGGCACCTGCCTCTTAGTTCCTCAGGCGTTCCCTGAGGAACCGCCCCTTCTAACTGTTAACTCCTTGTGGGTGACTGTCTGCCCCAGCCCTTCACGCAGGTAAGTATTTTCTGAACGCATAGTGAGTGCTCCCTGACATCTAGATCAAGAGAACATTACAAAAGAAAAAAGAGGAAATGATTGCAAAAGCGTCAGAGCAGCTGCCAATTTCCCCCCAGGACACAGGCATGCCCTTTGATGAAAACACCATCTCCCCATGCCTGGAGGCAGCTGGGAAAAGCTGGGGCTTCCCTCAGCCAGAACAAAGGAGTTATTAGCCAATGAAGAATATCAAGTCTAATTTATGTCATGAACCCAGGCATTCCCATTGGAAGAGCGTAGATAACTAGGCTGGACTGGAGCCCTGGAAGGTCGTCTCATCCATTCATATCATCAGAATCCCAGACGGAGAAGAGAAAGTGGGAGCTGAAAAAGTACTCAAAAAAATAATGGCTGAAAACATGCCAAATTTGGCAAAAAACATAAACCTACACATTCAAAGAGCTGGGCAAATCCCAACAGGATAAACCCGAAATTCATGCCAAGGCACATCATAATTAAACTTCCGATAACTAAAGACAAAGAAAAACATCTTGAAAGCAGCCAGAGAAAAGTGACACCTTATCTATAGAGGGAAAACAATTTGAATAACAGCAGGTTTTTCATCAGAAACCGTGAAGACCAGAAGAAAATGACACACTATTTTAAATGCTGAAAAACACACACACATAAAAAAACTCAATCGAGAATCCTACACCCAGGAAAAACATCCTTCAGGAAAGGGGAAAATCAAGACATTCTCAGGTAAAGGAAAACTAAGAGAATGTCTTACCAGTAGACCTACTCTAAAAGAATGGCTTTAAAAGGTCTCTAAACAGGAAACAATCAAAAAGGAAACCTGGAACATGAGGAAGAAAAAAACATGAATAGCAAAAATATGAGTAAATACAACAGGCATTCCTTTTTCCTCTTGGGTTTTCTGAATTATGTTTGATGACAAGCTAAAATTATGACACTGTCTGATGTAGTTCTAAATGCATGCACAGAAAATATTTAAATTAATTATAATATAAATAGGAGAGAATAAAGGGATGTAAAGGAAGGTAAGGTTTCTATACTTCACTCAAACTGGTAAAATGACAACACCAGTAGACTGTGATAAAATATATATATATATATATATATATATATATATATATATATATATATATAATGTAATGCCTAATCACTAAAAATCCTATACAAACAGATAACACTCAAAAACACTATAAATGGAATCCTAAAAAGTGTTCAAATAACCTATAGAAAGGCAGGAAAAAGAACACAGAGAAATGAAAAACAGAGAGAACAAACCAAAACCAAAAATAAAATAACAGGTTTACCATAACAATAATTGCATTAAATGTAAGTGGTCTAAGTACACCAATTAAAAAATAGAGATTGGCAAAGTGGATTTAGAAAACATGATTTGATATATGTGGTCCACAAGAAATATTAAAGATAAAGATATAGGCAGATTAAAAGTAAAAGGAAGGGGAAAATATATCATGCAAACATTAATCAAAGGAAAGGAGGAGTGGCTATGTTAATATCAGATAAAGTGGACTCCAGAGCAAAGAGAATTACCAGAGAGATTATATAATGTAAAAGGGTCAATCCACAAAGACATAGCAATCCCAAATAAATATGTGCCAAACAACAGAGCTGTTGTGAAGCAAAACCTGATAGAACTGAAATATACAAATCAACATTATATTGGGTTGTCGGGAAAGTCATGATGCATTGTTGCAACGAAAACCATAGAAAAAATACGTCATGACTTTTCTGACAACCCAATAGTTGAAGACTTCAAAACTCATCTCTCAAAACCTGATAGAACAACTAGACAAAAAATCAGCTAGGCTAAATAAGAATTCAATACCACCAACAACCAACAGGATCTAATCACCATTTCTAGAACACTCCACCCAACAACAACAGAATACACATTTTCATGTACCTATGAAACATGTATTAAGATAGACCATAATCTGGGCCATAAAACAAACCAACCAATTTCAAAGAATTGAAATCATACAGAATATGTTATTTGACCACAATGGGAATAAAAATAAAAATAAATAACAGAAAGATAACAGAAAAAAATTCCAAACACTAGGAAACTAAACAACATACTTCTAGATAACCCTTATGTCAAAAACAAAGTCTCAAGAGCAATTTTAAAAGAAATCATTGAACTGAACAAAAAGGAAAAAACAAAATACAGTAATACCTCGGTTTGCGAGCATAATTCGTTCTGGAAACAAACTACTTATATTGCAAGACATCGCTCATTTACCAAGTTAAAATGTATGATTAGGTTGGTGCAAAAGTAATAGCGGAAATGGCAAAAACCGCTATTACTTTTGCACCAACCTAATAGAAATGTTTGCTCGTCTTGTGGAACACTCACAAACCAAGTCACTCGCAATCCAAGGTTTTACGGTATCAAACTTTGTGGGACAGAGCTAAAGCAGTCTGAGAGGAAATTCATAGCACTAAAATGTATACAACAGAAAAGAAAAAAGTCTCAAATCAATAATTTAAGCTCCCACTATAAGAATACAGAAAAAGAACAAACTAAACCCAAAGCAAGCAGGAGGAAGGAATTAGTGAAGAGAAGAAATAGTAAACAGTTAACACAGAAGAACAAGAGAAAGATCAATGAAATGAAGAGCTGGTTCTTTGAAAAAAAATCAATGAAATTGATAAAACTCCAGCAAGACTGACAAAGAATAAAAGAGAGACACACAACTTACCATCAGGAATGAGCCAGGATATTTCTACAGGCCCTCCAGACGCCAAAATAATAGGGTAACACTATGAAATACACTACAACATAAACTTGACAATTTAGACAAAATGGACCAATTCTTCAAAAAACACAAACTAGCCAATTCACCTACTACGAAATAGGTAATATGAATAGCCTTCTAACTATCAAAGATAGTAAATTCATAATTTTAAAACTCTCTAAAAAGAAACATCTAGGCCCAGACGGTTCCACTGGAGAATTCTACCAAATGTTTAAGAAATGAGTAGCAATTCTACCTAATCTCATCCAGAAAACAGAAGAGGAAGGAATATCGCCCTATTCATTTTATAAAGCTTTACCCTGGTACCAAAACCAGACAAAGATTGGTTTAAAAAAAAAAAAAGAAACTATAGATCAATATCTCTCATGAATATAGATGTCTATTCTCTAATACTTTGTTAGAACATGGATAAAAGACATGAAGAGACATTTCATTGAAGATGA